CCTTAATGTCCATCCCCCAGTTACTCCATTCCCCCCCCAGCAGCCCTCAGTTTGTTTCCTATGATTAAGAGTCTCTTAATCTTATGAGAGTCCTATGGTTTGTCTCCCTCTCTGATTTCGTTTTATTTTTTCCTCTCTTCCCCTATGATCCTGTTTTGTTTCTTAAATTCCACATATGAGTGAGATCATATGATAATTGTCTTTCTCTGATTGACTTATTTCTTTTAGCATAAGACCCTCTGGTTCCATCCACGTCATTGCAAATGGTAAGATTTCATTTTTTTTTGATGGCTGAGTAGTATTCCATTGTATATATATATACATATCACATACTAGGTCACAAATCAGGTCTCAACCGGTACCAAAAGACTGGGATCATTCCTTGCATATTTTCAGACCACAGTGCTTTGAAACTTGAACTGAATCACAAGAGGAAATTTGGACATAACTCAAATACATAGAGGCTAAAGAGCGTCCTACTAAAGAATGAATGGGTCAACCAGGAAACTAAAGAAGAATTTAAAAAATTCATGGAAACAAATGAAAATGAAAACACAACTGTTCAAAACCTTTGGGATGCAGCAAAGGCGGTCCTAGCTTTAATATTTTTAAATGTTAAACTCTTAAATTTAAGCTTTAAAAAAAATTTAATATTTGATGATAATTGCTTCAGATGTCGTTTTCAAACTTTAAGGCAAAATGTGGAAATATCATTGATATTCTTGGTTACTGCTCCTCCAGAGAAAACCATCATCCCAAACTTCATGCTGATCATGTCCATGTGTGTTTTTCTAGCTTAAAAGAAAGCGTCAATCTTCCACCTATTAATATAGTCTAAAAACCTGAACTACTTACAGGATAGACACGACCTAAGCTACTTCTTAAGTTGCGCAAAAAGTAAATCCAGACATAAGGGGACCAGTGGTTAAGTTATTTCATCTTTCCACAGATTAACTTTTCTCCTGGGATAATGATCTTTGTCCTATCCACCCAACTTGGGTGGGATGAAAACAAGCGTAATAATGAGAACGAGTGTTCTTTGGAAAAAGAGAACATGCAAGGTTCTAGCACTTTTATTAATGAATTCCTTATGTGTCTCACTCCCTTCACAAAGTACTAGTTTATTTTATTTGTCCTCAAAGTTGAGGGAGTGGCCCCATTCCTACTGAGTAAGAGCTTTCTTTCCTAGCTTGATTTCCTAAACTCCCATTACAACCCTTCTCAGCCTTTGTCTTCCCAGACAAAGAAGTAGAATAGTTTTCTTCTTTCCCCCAAAGAAAAGCATTCTATTACAATTTTTGTCATTGTTCTTCTAAGCCTTTTCTAAGTCTGTTATATCTTTCTGGTGGTAAGGTAGCCAAAACTGCCTGCAGTATGACAGGTGCAAATAGTTTTGCGATTCTATTCTATTCAAGCATTTGGCAAGCATAATAACATGCAAGTAAAAAAACAAAACAAAACAAAGCAAAGCAAAACTCAACCATATCAAAACTACAATGAGCTCCCAGCTCATACCCATTAGGATGGGTATTATAAAAACAAAAACAAAAACAAAACACCAGGAAAATAACACGTGTTGGCAAAGATGTGGAGAAATTGGAGCCCTTGTACACTGCTGGGGGCAATGCAAAATGGTGCAGTTGTTATGGAAAACAAGATGGAAGCTCCTCAAAAAATTAAAAATAGAGTTATCAAATGATCCAGCAAATCCATTTCTGGGTATTTATTCCAAAGCATCGAAAGCAGGGTCTTAAGGAAGTATTTAAATACCTATGGTCATAGTAGCATTATTTACATAGATTTACAATAATCAAAAAGTGGAAGCAACCCAAACTTCTATTAACAGATGAATGGATAAACAAAATGTGGTATATACAGGCAATGATTATTATTCAGCCTTCAAAAGGAAGGAAATTCTGATACATGCTACAGCATGTATCTGATACATGGATGAGCCCTGAGGACGGGTATTAGGCTAAGTGAAACAAGTCAGTCACAAAAAGGCAAATACTTTGTCTTTGCCATAATTGGTATAATTCCACTTATATGATGTTCCTACAACAGTCAAATTCATAGAGGCAGTAGAATGATGGTTACCAGGGACTGGGGTTATGGAGAGTTACTGTTTAATGAATACAGAGTTTTAATTTGTAAGATGAAGTGTTCTGGAAAACGGCTGCAAAACAATGTGAATGTACTTAATACTATTGACCTGCACACTTAAAAATGGTTTAAAGATGGTTGAAATAAAGAAACAAAAAAACCCAACTAAAGTCTAGAGCAGTTCGGCTCAAGAAGGATTCTGAGAACATTACAGAAGGCTAGGTAAAAGTCTCCATCAGACAGTGTCGACTACCAAGAGCACAATTGTTAGGAGGTTTTTTCTAAAGTCTTTACCCCACGGTTCACTGTGGTTCATCACTGTGTTCTGCCGTCTTATGCTTCTGTTCTCTCTCTTTCAGAACCTAGAACATTACTATGCATTTACGGTTTGCTTTTAGGAAGGCCTCAATAAATATTTGTTGAAGGACTGATGGAAAGCATCATGGTTAAATGTTAGCTGTGGAGACCTAGTCCTAACACGGGTCCTAGTTTCACCATTGACTAGCTCATCACCATCTACGTGACTTCTCTAAGCCTCATTTTACCTATGTAGAAATTAAAGAGAGTAAGAGCATCTACTTCATAGAGCTATTGGGAAGATTAAATGAATAAATGCTTAGCATTGTGTCTGGCTAGAAAATCAAGGAAGGAGGCAGAAACAAATACATAGGAAACAACTGGGTTGATTGAACCTGGTCTATGAGCTGTATCCATTATATCCACACACTTCCACTTAGTGATTGCTCAGGAAATATTTACTGGATAAATGAAGTAATTATAGGGTGAAACTAAAAGATGAAATTTTGAATTCTGTTAAAAAAATTTGTCAAATGACTCAATTTATTTTAAAGACGAGGGCTATATATTGAAGAGGTAGATTACCACAGATACCTGTATTCACTTCTGAGAATTTTGCTAGCTTTTTCAGGCCCCCATAGGTCCGCTTCAAATTTATTTAGCACCTACTATAGTCCCCACATGGTCCCAGTATCAGGAATGCAACATAAACAAAACACTACCTTGCTCTCAGGCCAGTGGAAGAGACAAGTATGGAAGTACATGATGGATTAAGGGCCATGCTAGAGGCATGTCCAAGGTGGTACAAAGGAAAGTTCTATCTACTCTGCTGGAGGAGAGAATGGTTTTGGTGAAGAAAGACCCCCCCCGCCCCAATCCGAGGACAAGGCATTTGAGCTGGGCCATGAAGAATAGGTAGGGCTTCTCCAGGTGGAGAAAGGGGGAGGGGAAAGACAGAGGAGACAAGATGTACAAAGGCATGAAATATAGGGGAGGGAGATGAAACCACCAGACACCTTCAAGGAAGCGTGAGTCATTTCTATGATGGGGGAAAAGGGAATAACCTCATAGAAATAGGCAGGGGCCAGATGGCCCAGAGCTCATTTGCCTATGGAAGAGAGTTGCTTAATCCTCTTGCCAACGGGAAACCATAGAGTGTTTTAAGCAGAACAGACCATATCAGATACTTGCATGATAACTCCAGTCATGGAGTGAAGAATAGGCAAGAGGCACCGAGACTATGGGGGACAGGTGGGTCAGTTGACTAATCAGTTAGGGAAAAACTAGAGGCAAGAGAATGGTCTGGAGATCTTGGCTGTAATGAAAGGGATGGATATGAGAGATGTTAAGGAAGGTGAATTCAAATGTGTTCACCTCGTTTTACTTGCTCTATAGGTAAGTGCAAACTAAAGTAGGAGCTACGTACATACTAAAGTCGTACCTCCAAGACTTCATCCGGGCATGTTGCCTGAAAATCAATACTCTTCTTTAAAAAGTAAAGGGAGAGACAGCCGACTCTGCAAATCAACTTCAACAATTATTACACACTGTTGGTTTTTAGCGCATGTGCTTCCAGCTAAACCCAAGGGGTTAACTTTGTTGGGATTCCATGACTTGGTTTCAAACTGGAAATTAAAGTCCCGTTCCATGGAGACCAGGTTCCAGCATGGAGGGTTTTATCCTCAAGAGCCCTAGCCTTCGGAGCTCTGTAAGGAAGCCCAGCTTGCTCTGCCAGCACTAAGTCTAAAAGATACCAGGTTGAGTGCGATGGGTAGGCCCAGCTGAGCGATTCCTGAGAGCCAGGAATTTGATTCTAGGAATGAAAATGAGTGCTGGCGACAATTTGTAAGGACAAGCTTTTCTATCTGTCCTAAGGTCCCGTGGAAGATCATACCTAGACTTAACAGCCAAGACCATAAGAGCTGGGCCATTAAAGAAAGTGAGAAGATAAGAAACGGAATCAGATGGTACAGCAGCTCCGCTAGAACCGCCAGAATTTGGCAGGCTTTCCAAGTGTTCTGGAATGAACCCACGTTAGCTAATTCTTCAAAAAAGCATCATCTCCAAAGTGGTAGTAATGAATTACCACCAGAAGATACATAGAATACTGTAACTTTCAATCACCTAACATTATCACAAGCTGTGAATATTTCATTCACTTTAATAATAATAACTGTTAAAAGAGAGTAATAGTATCTATATTCATATACACCGCATAGAATTACAGCTATAAGCTCATACTCTTGGAAACAATTTTGCCCAAATATTTAAAACATTTCTTGATCAAGAGCATCCAAGGTGCACAATCGAATCCTTGACTTCTATAGTATTCGTGCTTGCTCTTTTTCCTCTCTCCTGCTGTTATTCTAGGACCTCCCCCAGACAGTTTCAAACACCTAAGACCAGAAAAGTAATGTTGAAACGAAAACCGAATGCCTTATAATCAATACAAGTTCATTTTATAAACTCAGGTTGCTGGTTAAGATCCTCCACTTAAGGACCAACCCCCCCAAATGTTCACTCAGTGTTACTGATCGTGCGGAGGGTCAGCAAATCATTTGAGCAAAAGAGACTAACATGTGAAAAACCCAGTGTCTCACCCAGCTCCACATCTTGATCATCGGTAAGCACAAGAATAATGTTGGGTCGGATGTTTTTTCGCTCCTGCTGTATCCGTCCTCTGAACCTCTGGGATCTGACAGTCGAACAGAGGCTCCCCAGCAGCTCCGTGCCCAGGACAGCCAGAACCAGAGCACAGCAAGAATACTTCATTGTGTTTGGTCCAATGTCGCGAGACTGACAGAATGTCTCAGCCTCCTGGTTTCTGCAGGTCTGGGCAGTCAGAGAAAAAGAGAGAGAGGGAGAGATGAAAATGACATCCAAACCCCAAACACAGTTGCAGAGAAAGGGCTACAACAAAGTGAGATCTGGCACGTGAACTGTTAGAGAGAGGGCTGCCCGTGAGTCAGACGTGGCCAAGCCCTCCCAGGCGCTGGGGAGGTTTTTAAGCACTTGATTATTTTGCAAATTCACTTTTGCCCTTTCTTCTCATTCCAACTTTTCCTATTTCAAAATTCATTGCCAAAACAGAATTTCCAACACAGAGCTCAAATGTAAAAGCCTGACAAGAGCTAATACCTTGAATTAGGTATCCTGGTTGAAGAATCAATTTCTGTACTCAGAGGTATTCAGAACATCGGCAGATGGGGTCCTAGAGGGGGAGAAGAAATACAAAGGAAACGTCAGTCAAGGGTTTTGATACAGATTTTGGTCTGAAGTAGTCTCTCAAAACAGCATATATATATATATATGAATATGTGTGTGTATCACACAAAATCCGTACTCCAAAAGGGAGAAACAGGAGAAAACAATATTCAAAGCTGCTAACAAATGACTCAGAAAATATCTTCATTTCATAATCAGCTCCTTAAAGTGGTGACACAGGTACCATCCTTGTTCACACTCTGCCAGTACTTCCCCAAGAAAACTCATGCTTGACCAGGAGGCGCCCCTAGCACCTGCGAAACCACAGTGGGTTTGGAGAGTACTTGCATCTGGGAAGCAGCTGGCGCGAGGGGGCATGCTGGGGGAGCGTTGACTCACCTGCGTAGATACTGAGTACTTATCAAGCAGAATAAAATGCAAGGCTGTCATTTGTCATCTGCATTATGTCACTCACTACCCTGGAGAGTTCTTTCTGCTGACAAAGACTTCATAGTAAGCAACTGGGAGGGCAACCTTTCCCAGCCCCCGAAAAGCTCCTAACTGTCCTCCATCAATCACCAGGGGAAGGGGTGCTTCCTCCGGGCGAGGCTTGTCCCTCCATCCCTGCCCGTGTCCTCAGCACCCCAGCGCCTAAGGGGACAGAGCACTCCTTCAACTGTCAGCACCAGCCTCACTCTCGCCGAGACCTGGCGCGGTGCCGCCAGCGAGAGGTTTAGCCGCAGCACATCTAAACCTGCAAAGCGAAATGATTGATTGGCTCTGAAGCTGGAGGGTAGCGGCTCCCTTTCCACATTAAAAATAAATAAATAAATCAGATCTGGAGGGGAGTGCTGCAAAATCTTTGCAAATGTGCCCAAGAGGAGACTTCTGAACGGGTTGGAAGAATGCCCCTTTTACTTTAGAGCACTAACCTGCTGAAAGCATTTCTCTTGGACTTCTGATCGCAAAGGGCTCATTAAAAAAAAAGGAAAAATCTTTCTCTTGGATGTCATGAGGGAATGTCTGTATGGGAATTTAGGCCGCCCTAAAATTAGATAGCGGCCCGCTTCGTCAGCCACTCTGTCCCCACACACCTGAGGGTCTGTATTTTGAATTGCAACAATAAACTGGCATCAGATAAATAAGCAGAACGAATCAAGTGGGAGAACTGCAAGTCAGAAGAAAAGGGACTCCATCGCTCATTTCCATGCCTTAAATTCTGGAGGGTGACATGGGGCAGTGGGAGAAGAAAGAAGAAAGACTGTGGACTGTTTACTCCAGCCGCACACATTATTTTGTTTTACACAAACACACACACCCCTATTATTTTAAACTTTATGAGCTGTTTTGTAAACAGTTCTAATGCTTTTCACTCTGCAGCCTGTAATTACTTTGAGAGAGA